CACAAGGCCTAGTGCTTGAAATAAAGACATACAAGTTTCTGTGTTGTGTATTAAAAATCACTACACCACTCCTCATTTCTAAAAGTACCCTTTACCTTGCATGGACTTTTATGGTTTTACAACACAGCAATTTATCAAAGGTTATCACTGTGCCATAACCATACATTCTTTGGGGTGATGCTCCATCATTCACTCTGCTACCCTGACCCTACCACAACTGGGCAGAACATCAGTCCTGACTTTTTTTTTTTTTTAACCTACTAAAAATAATAGGCCACCAGTACCAAACTTCCTGGTATTTAAATACCTCTTTGCTCTCAGTCAAATGTTTCATAATAGAGTGGCTTCCTTGTGATTGAGCCTAATCTCTTTAAGTGAGTGAAAAGACTTAGAGGAAAATGCCAACCCAAAACATACACTAGAAGGGAGTACCTGTAAAAAGACTACGTAAAGGAAGAAACTGGCCAGAAAGATGAGTGCAGTGTTTACACGTAGACCCAGAGTGGCAGCTGAGTTGCCCTGAACAAGGAAAGTCTTCTATAACGCAGTTCCCCAGGCTGAGGCCTCAACTCTTCCATCTGATGACTACCTGAGTCTAGGTTGCACTGTTTTCAACCTTCAGGATTTGCTAAGCAGTTCAGCTGTATTAACGAGCTACTCACATACAAGTGGAACTTTACAGAATCTGGAGAGATTCGTATCTAAGGTCTGAAAAACAACCTTTAAAAGTACACAAAACGCTCCTTAGCTTTGCTTTCAGCTTTTGAGGACTGCACCCTTTAGGATGCAGAAAGCTCTGGAAAAGATTTGCTGAAGGCTAGATTAGGCCTGGGAGAACAGGAAGAAGGATTCAAGCACCCGCCAAGGATCCCAAGTCAGAGCTAAAATCGCCCCTTCTGCGACAGGGGCCCGACCTTTGCCCCCTGCACGCCTCCCAGTTCCCTCTCGCACTTCCCTCTTCTGATTCCAGCGCCCTGAGCCCTTAGCCCACCCCGCGTCGCCCAACTTAAGGACTCTTCCCCTTTATTCCCTATCGCGATGTCAGGGCAGCTTTCACGACGCTGGAACTCTAGGAAGAGCCTTCGCTGACCTGTCAGCGGATTCAAAATGGCGGGGCCTAGTCCCAGGACCGGCAGCCGCTGCTCATGTCCAACCTGGGCCCCGAAGGCGTCTCCCAGCGGTTCTCCCGGCTTTGGTGGCAGGTGGGAGTAGGGAAGGAGCCTGTTTTCTGGAAGTTGACGCTGAAGTCAGGGTGGGGCCGCACAGTTGGCTGGGATGAGTAGACCGGGAAACGCGGTGGAGCCGGCTACCTTCCCTGTCAGCTCACTGACGTGGTAACTAGCCTCAGTCTAGCCCGCTGCCTGGTAACTGCGCGAGCCCTGCCGCGCAGAGCCAATCATAGCTTGGTACCACGAGAAGTGGCATTCCAGATATCCAATCGAAGAAAGAGACTTGGCTCTAGGAGGAGGGTAGGATTTAAAGAGGCGAGATTACTAGGGAAAGAAAAGGTTTGGAGACAACCAACGGATACGAGGGTTTTCTGAGTGACAGATATAAAAGCCAATAAAAATAAAAAGTTGTGCTGGGCGGTTGGAGAGGTGGAATTAGATAGAGTTCGGTTGCAGCGCGCAGTTTGGCAGTGGCTGCTAAGCATTATGGGGAGAAACACTACGATTTGCTGGAAAGGGGGCGGGGCCCGTTTTGAGAGCTTGAGCGGGCGACCCTACTCCCCTGACTACATCCTATCAAAGTCACCTGGGCCAAGACTATTCAAGTTAAGGAATCACTCCCTTTCGAGAAAGTGCTACAGCCCCTTCATTCTAAAAACTGTCAGGCAACTTATTCCACGCCCTCCAATCGGTCTTCCTCGTTTGTGGTGTGTCTGGCTCGTTTCTGTGTCTTCTACCCCATTCCTACCATTCAGAAATAGGGAAAATGGGAGGTGGCAAAATCCTTGGATATCTAATTAAAGTCTCTCCATTTTACAGAGCAGGAAACTGAATGCTAGAGCGGAGAGTTGAGCTGGTCTCATGCTCGCAGAGCTAGTTAATAGCAGAGCAGAGAGAAACAAATACAGACGTGTGTACACACACACACACACACACACACACACACAAACACACATTTCAGTTCTTTTTTTCACTCTAACTCCCTCTCATACTTAGTCTATCAGGCTATGATTCCCAGCTCTGCTCCTCATAATCAAAACTTGGACACGCCTTACCAATCAGGGAAAAAGCTAATCACAACGGTTAGTCCATATCACCATTGACAGGAAACTGACGCTTTTCCTGTTTACCTGAGAAATGCTAAGAGGACTCAGTGTTGAATACCCATCAGTTTTCACTCTGCTATCCCCAAACCTAGTTGACTTTTTCCCTTATAAGTGATGACAGAGGTTGCTAAGATACTCAGCATTATCTAGAAGCGACAGTGTGTAGGAAAAGGACTGGAGAATGGATTTTCTGCTTGCAGGTTGAGTGGAATTCCCAGCCTGTCTGCTGAATAGAACCCAAGTATCCCCTGCAGACCTGGAATGAGGCTGCTGGGAGGCAGTGAGAAAAGATACCAATAGTCTCCACACTTCCTCCCACTTATGGATGACTCAGGTCCAGAAAAGCTCCATACCTAACTTCATAGAAATGTGATCTCAAAACCAGGCATCCAGCTAGGCACTGTTGGCTCATGCCTGTAATCCTACCTACTCAGGAGACAGAGATCAGGAGGATCTCAGTTCAAAGCCAGCCCCAGGCAAATAGTCCATGAGAACCTATCTCGAAAATACCCAACACAGAAAAGGGCTGGTGGAATGCCTCAAGGTGAGGCATTCACCTTGAGTTCAAACCCCAATACCAAAAAAAAAAAAAAAAAGCATCCAAAGGCCCTCCATATATTATAATCCTCTAATTTGAAGAACTCCTCAACCTAACATCAAACCTGAAGAACCCCTCAAGAGCAATCTGCACCTGCACATTGGGGTCCTTGTTGGTCTTAATCGAGTAAGAAGATATTCTACCATAGCACCTCTTTCCATAGTACCTCTGAGCCATTTCTCTCTTCATTTGAAAACTGGGGTTTGGTATTCTGGGCCTGTCTCAGACAGGGAGGTCTTGGGCAGCTAACTGGAAAATCCTCAGCCAAAACTACCTATTCTCCCTTCTCTACTTCTACATATCTCCAGAAATTCATCATCCTAAAAGCTTGTAATTGTGCATTACTACTAACCAACTTACCAGTTTAAAGCACTTTGCTTTTAGATTTCAGTATGACATACTGAATTTCTACATTTTGCCTGGGAACAAAAAAATGAAGACATGGTCCTTGTTCTCCTAAATCTTAGTGTCATAGGGTACAAAATATAAACTTATCTCTTTAATATGGTGGGTGAGTAATAGAGGGTATGCCCAAGGAGATCAGGGGAGCAAGAGTCTAGACATCTGTTAAACTAGGAGTTCATGAAATGCTTCTCAGAGAACAAGAACTGAGTGAAACTTAGGAGGATGAGTAGGTGTTGGCAAGAAAAAGATTGGTTATTGTCAGGAAAGGCCAGAAATGTTTATGAAAACACTAGGAGATTAGAAATGAAAACGAGGTTAGGCCCTGAAAGTCTAGTATGCCTGAGTAGGGAGGTTGACCTGAGAGTTTTAAGCAAAGATGTGAGTGATCAGATTTGCCTTTACAAGCATATTATGCGACTGGGCTTAGGGCTCTCAAGGGCACCCAAGCAACCCAGCCTAACTCTATGTATTCCTTGGACATCTGAACTACCCCTTGCAAATTCCTAACCAGCAAGCACCAAAGTCACACTTGCCCACAGGACTGAATCTGTTATGGGAAACTAGTCCTGCAGAAACTGGAAGAGCACAGTCTGAGCAAACTGAGGGTATAAGATGAGAGGTCATGGGCCCATGCTTTTGTAAAACAGCCAGCCCGACCCAAAGAGCCAGCGGGAGATCCCTTTTTAATTTGGGGTGTGGAGAGATGTGATAGGTAAGTTATTTGTCCACGGTCACTCAGTGAGGGTGGGGTTAGAATACTATGGTTTGTCTCATTCCAAACTCTGCCCTCTCCAAGAAGTTACCTTCCTTGGAGAAGAGGAGGAAAATGTGGGTGAGGGGTAGATAACTGAGAAGAGAAAGATGTGAGGAAAAGGGGGTACAGAGAAAGAGAAAAAAGTTTTTCAAAGTGGCGGCAGGGGGTAGGGGATGTAGGAGTGGCAAACAACAGAAGCGGCAGGGAAGAAGGAAGAAAGTCGAGACGTAGTAGAATTGGAACAAAGACAAAAGGGCAGAGAGACAGACAGCGACAAGTGGGGAAAATTGGCGAAACTTGAGCGGCAGCGAAGTCTGAGCGCTAAAACCCGGCTGCCGGGTGCGCGTTTCCCACCTGGCGCCCAGGCAGCCCCTGTCCCCTTGTATTACTCCACTTTGCTCAGAATAAGGGCTCGGCCCCTACAAGCGTCGGCCGGCCTTGATTCTCTGGAGCTAACGCCGACCACTTTACTTTGGCTGGCTTTGCACTGCTAAAATGTTCTTGCAGTAGCGCGGCCTTCGCCACGTGGGGAGGGGCGTGGCCCAGTTTTGGAGGAGCGTTTCCAATTGGCTAGTGGGCGGGGTTTTTGGCGTTCCGCCTTCTGGACCCCACCCCCGAAGGCGGAGCCTGAAAATTCACAGCTGGAAAGGGAGGAGCCCGGGGAGCGCAGCTGGAAAGGGGTGGGGCCTGAGGAGCTCGGCTGGCTGCTGCGGGCTGGGGGCGCCCTGGGCTGCCATAAAGTGAATGGGAGCTGCTGGGGGGTGGCAGTCTACGGTGAGGCTCACTCCCTCCGCGAGTCTGGGAGCGCAAGAGCTGAGCGGCCGCCCGGGAGCAGGGGGGTGGCCCCCCTCCCCGGCCGGGTGCCTGGCCCCTGGCCCCTGCCTGCGCTCCAAACAGCCACTGCCGCCGTCGCCACCCGGAGTCTGCCTGCTGCGGGACGCACTGTGAGTGCTTGACCATGAGGGGTACAGGAGCTCAAGGGGCCAAGAGACCATGGCTGGTCCCGGGACTCCTAAAAGGGAACCTGGGGTGGTTGAACTCCGGTGCTTGGGGAACAGGTCGAGGCTGAAAGGGCGTACTACAGACCCCACGGGAGCCATGACTTGGGCAAAGGAAAACTCAGGGTAAGGACCCGGGGGACTCGGAAGGGAAAACTCAGGGGATCCGGAGCGAAGCCAGAGACATGAAACCAGGACAGGAAACCATTACCAGAAAGCGACCTGGAATCCAGGGGGCACAGGGTCTGCGCCCAGGGAGTAAAAGGGGTTGCATGCCCAGCATGGGGGCAGTTGTCAATGCCCGAGTCGGCCCGAGCTCAGGCCGACTCCAGGGACTGGGAGCAGGGGTGCGTCTGGTCGCTCACGCTTCTCTTCTCAGCTGCTCCGCGGTTGGAAAAGGACCTGTGTTGTGAGAGCCCGGCAACTACTGGGTCAGATGGCCGCTGTGAGAGTGCCAGGGCCAAGGTTGGAAGCCCAGCGCGGCAGGACAGGCAGGCGGGTATTACTTGGGGTGTCAGGGTCTAGATGGATCCGACCTGGGGCCGCCTCAGAATCGGACAGAATGTCCTCGGCTTTGTGGGGCTTGGAGCGGACAGAATGTCCGGGGTGGCAAAGCGGGTCTCTCCGGAGCAGGCACTGTTTCCGGCAGTGGTGGACAGAATGTCCCTGGCCTGGGTGGCATGTCCATCTACCCGAGAGCGCCTGCCCAGCTTCTGCGTATGCGATGGGGTCGGCTGCGGTGGGTCACCTGAAATCCCAGCTCACACTTTGCAAACTTGTTTTCTGCTCCTCCTGCTTGCGGGGAGGGGGGGAGGGTACTAGCAAGGAGTGAGAGTAAAGGATGCAGACTGGCCTTGGCGGCTGGGTGTCCCTGGGAGACATCCCCTCTCATCAAAATAGATCAGAGCATCACTCTGGACTTCCAGAATCCAAATCTAAGGAGAGAAGGCTGACTGCTAGTGAATCAAGATCAGGAAAGAAAGCAAAGGGCAAAGGGGAGGCATTGAGGAGCCGGAACCGGCCCTGACAGTCTCAGTTCTCTCACAAACTCAGTCAACCCCTAATTCCAATACTGTTGGCCAGACACCCCAAGACTCCTTGTTTAGGTGACAGGTGACTCAAGGCTCCTTGAGGGGACAGGAGCCTGCCAGAAAAGAAAACTGCAGCCCCTTAGCAAAGCAAAACATACATTACTTTTTTTTTTTTTTTTCTTTTGCTCCCTTGGTCCCACCAGTCCCAGCTTGGTCCTGGTGGCTAACAGAAGGTGGAAAGGAGACACATGGAATCTGAACTCTAGGGTCCAACATGTCACCTATATAGTCCTCTAAATCTAGTTGAGAATGTCTCAGCTGCTCTGTTTACTTTCTCTGTAGCTATGGGAGGGCCCTGACTCCTCTGAGCCCATACAATGACCACCCACCCTGACCCCAACCCTAATTAGAACCCAGTTAAGCAAAAGATGAGAGAGGAGAGAGAACTCTGAATCTGTGCAAGTGAACAAGACAACCCAACAGGGACTGAATTTTCATGAGGACAAATGCAAGGCATTGTGCTCAGCCATGAGTGATCTAAACAAGTGGGTCTCAGCTTTTCTCACCCCCCACCCATGAGTGACATACAATACACATTTCTACCTCCACTCCTCAATTCTAAGGTTGGTTTAGATAAAGGCTGGGAAATTATTGTTTTTCAACCTTATTTGTCCTTTGCCCTGTTTTGATAAACAGAGTCACACCTCCAAACACCCTATCTGGTGGCTAACAGAAGGTGGAAAGGAGACACATGGAATCCGAACTCTAGGGTCCAACATGTCACCTATATAGTCCTCTAAATCTAGTTGAGAATGTCTCAACTGCTCTGTTTACTTTCTCTGTAGCTATGGGAGGGCCCTGACTCCTCTGAGCCCATACAATGACCACCCACCCTGACCCCAACCCTAATTAGAGCCCAGTTAAGCAGAAGATGAGAGAGGAGAGAGAACTCTGAATCTGTGCAAGTGAACAAGACAACCCAACAGGGACTGAGTTTTCATGAGGGCAAATGCAAGGCATTGTGCTCAGCCATGAGTAATCTAAACAAGTGGGTCTCAGCTTTTCTCACCCCCCACCCATGAGTGACATACAATACACATTTCTACCTCCACTCCTCAATCCTAAGGTTGGTTTAGATAAAGGCAGGGAAATTATTGTTTTTCAACCTTATTTGTCCTTTGCCCTGTTTTGATAAACAGAGTCACACCCCCAAACACCCCTAATCACATTTTAATATACATTTTAAGGGTTTGTGCTCCCATTGTCTTTGAAAAATCACTGAAATTATGGATGAAATGAAGGATTCTGAGTCAGGAAAGGAATAAGCATCACAGATGGTTCCCTGAGGACCCAAAAGTTCTGCTTCTGCCAAAAAGGCAGAAAAGGGATGGCATCATAACAAAGATGACTGGAAACAAAAGCCAGAACCTTCTTTTACTCTTGTATAAAGCCATGTAGCTGAGTGCATGTCTGGTCACTGACTCTTAAGGAGAATGCTATAGACCTACAGAAGGGTCAGAGAGTGGGGTTGGGAGTGAAGCTCAGTTGTAAAACACTTGGCAAGGCCCTAAATTTGATACCCCACACCACAGAAAGAAGAAAGAAAGCCAGGTGTGGCATACCTGTAATCCCAGCACTTGGGAGGCTGAGGCAAAAGCATCTCAAGTTAGAGGCCAGCCTGGCTATATACACAGACCCTATCTCAAAAAAAAAAAAAAAAAAAAAGGTCAGAGAATAGTTGATAGAATGGGGAGGAGCCAGAGTAGAGCAATTCAAAGTTTAGCAGGAAGGACAGGATGGAAATCTACAACACAATGAAAGACATAAATAAGGTGAGGACTTGCTTGCTCCCCAAATCCTGAAACCTGAGATGAGGGGCCTCTTAGAACTGAAGTAATGCAAGCATGGAATAAACAGGGAAACATTCTTTGGCACACAGTGGGCAGACAATTTCTAGAACTCATTTCCAGAGGGTGGGTGGTAGAGGCTGGAAGTAGAAACAGAATCTTTCAAGCCTCAAGAGATCAGTGCATGCCAGTCACAAATGGGTGTGGGATGGAGGGGGGCCAGGCATGGAAAGAGCAGAACCAGGTTGGAACCTCTTCATTCTTTGTAACTTTGGACAATTTCCTGCCTTCTTAGAGATAAAGTGGGGAAGGGCATTCCTGCTATGCAGGTCGTTGTGAATTAAATGAAATCATGTATAGGAAAGCCCTCTGCAAATGGAGAAGCCCCAGAAGAACTTTATTGCTATTATTCTACCCAAACTGCAGGTCCTCACTGTTTGATCTTGAGCAACCTGATCACATCTCTGACCTAGCTACAGGAAGGTTGTTTTTTCTTTTTTTTTTTTTTTTTTTTTTTGGTGTGTGTGTGTGTGGATCTGGGGTTTGAACTCAGGGCCTACACCTTGAGCCACTCTACCAGCCCTATTTTTATAATGAGTTTTTTGGTTTTCCAAGACAGGGTCTCACGAACTATTACCCAGGCTGGCTTTGAACCACGATTCTCCTGATATCTGCCTCCTGAGTAGCTAGGATTACAGGCATGAGCCACTGGTGCACAGCCACAAGAAGGTTCTTAAGGACAGATGGGTCACCTACCCTAGGCTCCAGGTTCTAGCCGTTACCCCTGTCCCTCTCCAAAAACTCAGGAAGTTCCCCCAAGTGCTAAACTTCTCCACCAGGCCAAATATTCCAAACTGAACTCTGCCTGCCTCCTACTCAAGGATGTGAATATGAGCTCAGGAGGGCAGGGGAGGGGCTGGAGCTGAGTTTGGTGAGAGAGGAATGGATGGGGCCAGGTCTAATCTTTTCTTCTTCATTCACTCTACCTAATGAGACCTGCTAGAGTCCAGGGAAGGCAGATGGCAGATAACCTAACGGATCATTAGGGCCTGAGCTTTAGGGTGCCTAGAGTGTCCATGGTCATTGACACTCATGAGACCCATAAGAATAGTGATAGGAAGGAAAAGGAAAAGAAGATAGTGAGGTGAAAGAGTTATGGAAAGACAGAGATAAATGGTTTACAAACTCTCTCCACCTCTCCTTTCCTACTTTCCTTTCCCAGAACCTTCTTTTTGTTATTTGTTTGTTTGTGACAGGGAGTCTCACTGTATAGCCCAGGCTGACCTTGAACTAAAAATTCTCCTGCTTTAGCCATCTGAGTGCTGGAATTATAGGCATGTACCACCAACCCTGGCCCAGGGGTCTTCTTTATACTTGCCAGTTCATTTGTAGTTTCCCCTTTCCTGCCAAATAGTTTACAAAGATGCCACTTTTTATGGTCACTCTCCTACCTACAAGCTTTAGGGTGCCTAGAGTGTCCATGGTCATTGACACTCATGAGACCCATAAGAAGAGTGATAGGAAGGAAAAGGAAAAGAAGATAGTGAACAGGTTGCTCCTCCAGTTTGGAGCAATGCTTCTCACAGTGTGTGTGGGAGGGAGGGGGCAGTATAGAAGTGTGAGGGGCATGACCCATTTGACTGAACAGGGCCAATCTTCCCTGTGTGGGGATGTTATATGAAGACTAGGGGAGGGGATGCACACACACACACACACACACACACACACACACACACACACTCTCTGTCCACTTTTATGTTAAAATTAGCGCAACCAAAGTCTAGAATGAGCTGCAAAATTTGCTTAACTTTTTAAAATCAAGCTAGAGAGGCTGGAGATGTAATTCAGTGATAGAGTGATTCCTAGCATATAGGCCTTGGGTTTAACTCCTAGCACTACAAAATAAAAATAAATAGTAAAATTAAGCTAGAGATCTCAAAGAAATTTCACACTAATGGTCACCATTTCAGGTCATGCCTCTAGTTTTCTTTTACTGATCTTAGGGATTTGTTGTTGTTGCTGTTGAGACAGAGTCTTACTATGTTACCCAGACTGACCTGGAACTTGCTATGTAACCCAAACTGGCTTCAAACTTGCTATTCTACCTTAGCCTCCCATATACCTGGGATTACCGGTGTGCCCCACCATGCCCTGCACTTAGAAAATTTTTGATGGAAAAGTTGAAGACATTCTAATATAGTCTAATATAGACATTCTAATACAGACTATTGATATTCTAATATCAAATTCAAACCTGCACTTGTCTTTCATCAGAGGCCCTCTCAGTCTGAGCTATTTTTCTCTGCTGGTCTCCCATTGCCCATGCTGAGACATGGACCAAGTGAGGCTCCTCATTCCCTCTGAACACTCCCAAGACTGCAGCATTATTTAGAATGCCCACCCCTTCTCTGCCTCCTCAACTCCTATTTCAGCCATGCACTTACATTCTCTGAGCCCCAACACTTGACACCACCTTATATGGACTCCCATCTCTGATTTCCTACAATCTGAGAGTCAGATCCACGCACTCCATTTTTCCATCCCATGTTCTGTTTGCCTCCCTAGATTATAGGCAAGTTAATGCCTTAACATTCTTTGGGATCTTGTGCCTAATACCTGAAGAAGGAAGGAAGTCAGGGAGGGATCCTGAGAAGCATGTAGAATTATTTCTGACTCCTCATTCACCCCTTGATAACTTGAGTACATCAGATCATAGCTACCTCCATCTCAGTCTTGGGGTTTTATCCTAGTGCTATGGACAAATGTGTCTTCTTTTGCTTCCATTCACACACTACAGTTCAGTAGACCAGAGACCTGGATGCTCAATTTCCTGGATGAATAGAAGGCTATGTCTATCCAAAGGTCTCACTTCCATCTCAGGTTTATAAGGTGGTTCCATACTAGTTTAGAGCCTTGATTTTTACCTGTTCCCAACTTTGTTGCCTGCAGCTGAGCCACAACATCACAACTCCAGCCCTCTTTGCTTCCTATGCACTCAACCCCTGCAAGAGAAAGGTTTCCTCTCATTTAAATTCCAGGTTGTGTTTCCTGCCTCAGGTATTATCATCACAAATTATTGTACATTCTCTCATTGTGGCCTTGGTCTATTTCTCTGGCTTTAGGATTTCACTGGGGACCCATGACCCCAGTTTTCTTCTTGCCATGAGGTTGTAGTCCTTGGAAACCATGGCCTCCCCAGTGTGCCCTCTCTGGCCTGTGATCTGTTCTCTGCTTTAATGTGTCCTGGACATTTTGTTCTTGCTGGTCCATGATAGGTTTACTCTAATTCTAGCCTATACTTTGGAATTACAGAATACCTGCAGGCTTTCTATTCTCCCTAGGCTTGGGCTTGAAACCATGATACCAGTGGGGCCTCCCATCCTCAGCAGGGCACATCAGAAAGGCAGCCCTTTTCAGAGCCAGATTCACCATCACGTTGCGTTTTGGGCCTGCCTGGTGTTTCCTAACAACACTAACCAATCCTGCAGCCTCCACACTACTGCTTGTCCCTCCCTGTCCACTGAGTGAGATGAAGTCCCTGGCCTCAGTCCCAACTCCCCAGCTTTCTGACCTCCAGCAGTTTTGGGGGAGCTTAATGCTCAGCCAGCCTGTCTCCAGCTCAGACAACAGCTTGGTGCCCCCAGCTTTTGCCTTACTAGCCCAGTCTGATGAGAAGAGAGGCGGCTGGAAACCTATGCCCACCCTTACATTATTCCATTGCTTGTCTGCCTTTACTGCTCATTCCTTCTCTCTGAAGTTTTGGAGTCAGAGCCCTTCTCTCGCTGCTGTTACTACTCCATCCAAAAGCCCCAAGGCTTCAGTCTTCTTTTTATCAGACCCGATCCCTAAAGTGGTTCCCAGCTAGGGTTACTATATCCATTTTGCTGTTCCCACATTGACTGGGACCACTGTTCAAACCAGTGTTGTATCTGTCTCTGAAATACAGCATGCTCACCTTTATTCATCAAAGAAATTTTTCACTGGTAGACACAGAGCCTGGGGAGGTGAACCACTCAATTAAGGGCAGGGGTGAGGGTGAACTTGGTCCCCACTATATTCTCAGTGCCTAACTCAATGTCCAGCTCCTAGAAAGTACTAAAAACACATACTTGGAGTTTTATCCCTACTCACTTTTACATGTTATGTAGCATCCAAACCTTGTAACAATTCTGAAGGCAGAGCCAGGTGTCATAGTACACACCTGTCATTCCAGCATTCAGGAGTCTAAGGAAGAAGATCAAGAATTTGAGGTCAGCTTGGGCTACATAATGTGACCTTATCTCAAAAACAACAATAACAAACAAACAAAAAAACACTAACGGTGGGTAAGGAAGGGATCATGATCTCTGTTTTAGAGATGAGGAAATATGAAATATGCCCAGAGAGGGAAAGTAACTTGGCAAAGACACACAGGTAGTAAGTGGGGGAGCCAGGACATGTACCTAGATCTTTTGACTCCAAACCTAATTCCTTTGGCCGATACTAGATGATTGTCCTAAGAACAGCCTGGGCACTTTCTATTCTTGTTCGTTACCTCCACTATAGATCCAGCATTCTCATGCCTTCTCCTCACTCAGCCAAGCAGGATATACAGCCACTAAGTGTAGAACATTCCCTGGCCCCCTCAGCCTCTTCCTCCCCCACAGAAGAGTTCTTAGCTCCTGAGACTGAGAGCTAGAGGTTCAGAGGGGCCATGGAGGACAGGAAGGGGGTAACAGCTAGCTCCAAAACAGCCCAGGCAGCTGTCCCTGTCACAAAGGAGACTGTATGACCGCATGTGTCTGTCTGCCTGAATGTAGAAGCATATGTGTGGGAGAGTATGTATTTGTTGTGTATTTATGTGCCTCTAGCTCCAAGTCCAAGTGCTCATTGTGTCTGAGTGGGGGCCTATGTGTGTGTCTGCACTTGTGTCTGTCTGTCTCTGAGAACACATAGCTTGAACTCTGCTTTCTCAGCCTTGCCATTTACCCTGGCCCTTAACTTCCTCACCCTGCCTTCCTCTGCTGAAATAGAGAATGAAATCAAGACCCAAGTATGGAATGTTGGGGCGGGGGGGACAAGGGGAGTTTGGAAAACTAGATGTCTGGAGCCAAAACAGACTGAATGATGAATGGCAATGGTGGGACTTAGCTTTTCCCACAGGCAACTCCCACTATCCCTTTTCCCCACCTCTGTATTGCTCCTGTGGCCCCTGGAAAAGTCAGAAGCATGGTTTGAATTTCAAGGTCATCTTAGGTCTGAAGGGCAGACTTCAGAGCACCCTCTTTTCTATCTTTTAGTTCTAAGCCTCCCTCATCTTCCCAGCTATTTGGGAAGAACTGCTGGTCAAGGCTGCCACAGGTCCTTCCCAAGGGCATCTCCCTTCCAGTGGAGAATTGTTGGGCCCAAGTTTCCCAGCTCCAAGCCCTGGCTCCTGACTTCAGACCTAGAAAAAGAAGTCCTGACCTGACTTCTCTCCTTCCTTCCTGGGTTCCCTCCAGCCATGCCTCTCCAATCCCAGTAAAAGGTCCAAAGTTGAGACCCTTCTGCCTTGAGAGCGGGAACTGTTTCTTAACCCCCTGCCTCGACTTCTGTCAAGTCGGCTCAGGGTAGGGCACAGCTGTGATCTCAGAGCTGGTTGGAGGGGCATTACTATGTGCAAACAGAGGCTCCTGTCCATCTGCACCTCCTTGAGAAAGGCTCCTAATAAATTCAGAGCAACCAAGTGACACACATCTCAATCTAGGTTAATCTACTACATTAATGCCACTTCATGCAGCCTTCATTAAAGTCCCCATTAATGGGGAGGGGTTATTGGGGGTAGAGAGACCCCTCCTATCTAATTCCCTAACCCATCCTTTTATCCCCAGCCTCCTTCTGTTCTCTGACCAAGAGACATCCTGAGTCTTGAGCCCCAGTAGTGTCTCTTTCCTTCTTCCCACCAGAAGAGTTGCAGGAGAGCCAACAGAAAAGGACTCTGCAGGGGAAACCTGAAGAGGGACCAAATGGGCTCCTGGGCACTGTCAGGCTAAGTTTGGGACAGGGAGGACTGACAGGAAGGGAGTATTAAGGAGGGCAGGCCAGCCTATTGCCTGGAATGGGTTGATAAAAACTAAGCATGAGATAGATGGAGGGGTGACTGATAGAATTTTGAGATGTGTTTTGGGTGGACAAGAGAGTAAGATAGGGCCCAAGGTGCCCTGTGGTTTTCAAACTTGGTTTTGATACTGGAACCCTTTATTCAAACAAAATCTCTGCAGAAATTATAAACAAAACAGACAAAAGCAGAACTGCCTTAGTTGAAGCAGACCCAAGCAAGGCTAGGCTGGAGTTCAAGCTGAATCCCCTGAGGGATTCTGAGGAGGGTCCCAAAGAACACATTCAGGAATCCCACAGACCTAGCTCAGGTCCTAGTTTCACCACTTACAAGCTCTATGACTTTAACCAATTACTTCATATCTCATTCAGTTTCCTCATCTGAAGAAGGGTGATACAGGTTGAGCATCTCTAATCCCAAGGTTCAAAATCTGAAATACTCTGAAATTCAAAACCTTTTTCTGTGTATTGTGAGTTTCAGATTTTTCAGATTAGGACTGTGTCAGCTGCTGAATCAGTGCAAATATTTCCAAGTCCAAGACATTGAAATCTCAACTCTGGCTCCAAGCATTTCAGATAAAGGATACTCAACCTGTATTACTTATTTAACCTTGATGTATTCTATGAAGGGAGAAATAATGAGGTTAAGGTTCATAGTACCTGAAAGGGATAGCAGTGATTATAGTGATTTTTTTTTTTTTTTGGTGGGACTGGGGTTTGAACTCAGGACTTTGTGCTTGCAAAGAAGGCACTCTACCTCTTGAGTCACACCTCCAGTCCATTTTGCTCTGATTAGTTTTTGGAGATGGGGTCTCTCCAACTATTTGCCCCAGCTGGCCTAGAACCTTGATCCTCCTGATCTCAGCCTCCCGAAAATAGCTAAGATTACAGGCGTGAGCCACCGTCACCCAGCTAGCAGTGATTATGAGAGAAATATCAGACCTGGTTTAAAATAACATGTGTCTCATGGAAGGTATGAATAACAGAGGTTGTGTCTCCAGTGTGGTTGACTGACAGACACGATCACGTGGGAATATTGAGCATTCAGGTGAGGAGAAATCAAGGTTTTTATGATGTAGTATAGGTGATGTAGTTGGGCAGTAGTGTGCCTTTTAAAAATTAATTCAATAAATGTGCAAAACCGACTGTGCTCCAGGCATAGTTCTAGGTGCCCAGCAGTTAACAAAGTCGTGTGTATATATTTGTATATATGTATATGTATATGTATTTATATATATATATATAAATTTTAAATTTTATATATATATATATATATAAATACCTCGCAGAATACACCTTTCGCTTAGGCTGCTATTTCTCTGTTCCATCCTAGGGCACCCCCATTTCGGGTAGCTTTATGTCGGTGACTGAGAAAGGGGGCAGAGAATTTGTGGGGAAATCCTACTAGAGACTGGATAATCCCGTGATTTTACCCGCATTAACCCGGTCTGCGTCTTCCCTTCCCTCCAGAGCCCTCCCTCCATGGAGTTCGGGCTGCTCAGCGAGGCAGAGGCCCGGAGCCCTGCCCTGTCGCTGTCAGACGCAGGCACCCCACACCCTCCGCTGCCAGATCACGGCTGCAAGGGCCAAGAGCATAGTGGTGAGCGCGTCCCCTTCTGGGGGTGGAGGAGATAACAGTTCAGCCCCTAACCGGGATGGGACCGGGAATACAACGTGGGTGGGAGCCCGAGCATGTTGAGGAGGCCCCTGAACTGGAGAATCCGCACAGGCCTGGGCGCTCTGTGACCTGCCTCACCCTGGCCCCCAGACTCAGAGAAGGCTTCGGCCTCGCTGCCGGGTGGCTCCCCCGAGGACGGCTCGCTGAAGAAGAAGCAGCGGCGGCAGCGCACTCACTTCACCAGCCAACAGCTGCAGGAATTGGAGGCAACCTTCCAGAGGAACCGCTACCCTGACATGAGCACGCGCGAAGAGATCGCCGTGTGGACCAACCTCACGGAGGCCCGTGTGCGGGTACGGCCTTGACCAGCCCGCAGCCCTCAAGCGCCCGGGGTTCCATCCCCGGGCCCCTCAGCAGCTCCCGCTTCTGCTCTGTCTGCCCTACCCCGGACCCAACACCTGCCTCCCTTGACTCCTGGGCAGCCCCGTGTCGTCCAACTTCTGGTCCCCGGCTCGTGATTCTTTGCCCCTGACCTGGTCTCTTACTCCGCTCCTCACTTCTCTTTGACCCCTTGCTACTGCCCCTCCCTCCCTCCCTCTGTCACCTCCCACCTTGTGGACAACTCCAACCTGACGCCCAAAGCTTCTGTTCTCAGGCCCCTGTCTCCAGACACCGTTTATCCTCCGCATGGTACAGATCCGGGCTGGAACTCCTGTCTGGGTGACCCAATCACTAGCCTTTTGACAGGTCCCCAAACCCGCGGGGCCCTGCCCAGGGCCCTGACCGCCTTTCTCCCACGCCCGCAGGTGTGGTTCAAGAACCGGCGCGCCAAGTGGCGGAAGCGCGAGCGCAGCCAGCAGGCTGAGCTGTGCAAGGGCGGCTTCGCAGCGCCGCTCGGGGGGCTGGTGCCGCCCTACGAGGAGGTGTACCCCGGATACTCATATGGCAACTGGCCACCCAAGGCGCTCGCCCCGCCGCTCGCCGCCAAGACCTTCCCGTTCGCCTTCAACTCGGTCAACGTGGGGCCTTTAGCTTCGCAGCCCGTCTTCTCGCCACCCAGCTCCATCGCTGCCTCCATGGTGCCCTCGGCCGCCGCTGCCCCGGGCACTGTGCCGGGGCCCGGGGCCTTACAAGGCCTGGGAGGGGCACCCCCGGGGCTGGCTCCGGCCGCCGTGTCCTCTGGGGCAGTGTCCTGCCCTTACGCCTCGGCGGCCGCAGCAGCCGCTGCAGCCGCCTCGTCCCCCTATGTATATCGGGACCCATGTAACTCGAGCCTGGCCAGCCTGCGGCTCAAAGCCAAACAGCACGCCTCTTTCAGCTACCCTGCGGTTCCCGGGCCACCCCCGGCCGCCAACCTGAGTCCCTGCCAGTACGCTGTGGAACGGCCGGTATGAGAGGCGGGCCCGTGGATCATCCCCGAGGGCGGGGCAATACTTCACAACCTCCCCGGACTGGGGTCGTCTTGACTGGCTTGCCCTCACCCCAGGGTCTGAGAGGGGTGTTTGGGCAGCTGGGGGGGCGGCAGGCTTAGAAGACGGCCTTCCCTTCCCATCCCTGAGAGGTGGCATGAGCCCTACACCCAGACCGGCCCCCTGGGATTAAGGCCAGGAACAGGGACCAGCTCCCCGGGGGCCAACTCACCCTCGGCCCATCCCACCTTCCCCAGACCCCCTTAGCCGGTTTTCAAAGATCAATGAAATAAACATGCGCGGACTGTCAAAGGCCTGATGATTGAGAGTTGCGGTTGAACCCTCTTTCATTCTTCTCCCCCCATTGTCTAAAGGAAAGCTGGATGTACAGCCACGAGGTGAGGGTCCAGGCTTCTAGGGCTCAGTTCCACTCACTCCCATCCTCCAAGATGGGGAAGCCAGGAGTCCTGAAGCAAAAGGGTGCACGAAGGCGTGGAGCTTGGGGAACCAGCTACTTGACTGCATCGGCCAAAGCTGGTGCTGCGGCGCCACCTGGTGGTCTCAGGGAGGACAGCTGGTAGGTTCTCGTCTCGAATCCTTACTTGCAGGGACCAATTTTGCAACTTAGGAAGCCTATAACTTTAGCTAAGTTACTCCGCCTTTCTGCACCTGTTTCTCATTGTTTCTATGAGGCGCGTGGGCCTCTAACAGCAATAAAATTCTGATCTGTAACAGACATTTATTAAGTGCCTATCAGACCTAGGATTCTTATTGAGTGTCTGTGTGTGCCTCTATCCTTCCACACACCCTCAGCACCCCCACAGTCAGCAGCCTTCTCCCATCAAAGAAGCTCCCTTGTCTCTCTACCCCCAAGTCCCCTAAATCTTGTTGACATCTTTAATTTTAAAAATAGAGCAAGAAGAAGAAAGATTTCTGGATAGAAATATAAATATCTTTGGAACCCTCCTCAGTCCTACCCTCTTCCCACCTCCTGCTTGGTCTTCACATCAGAGACAGAAACATCAAAGTATCAGACCACATCCCCATTTCCAGGGGTGACACTTCTTCTTTGTCATAACTTCCTGCCACATTCCCATGGGGGAAACCATACAGGGAAGGGACCCTAATCATTCTCCCAAACCTAAGCGTAGTCCCTTAGTGATTTGGGGAAGAGAGAGCCTAAGGCTCTTTCTTTCTCTCCAACCCTTCACTGGCTTTTGGTCTTGGCTTTGACCTTAGGCCTGATGTAGGTTTGGCGAAAGAAGTGGGCAAAAAGGATGAAATAGGATGCATACAAGACAAATGACCAGAAGAACTGTTCCATTGTGGTGTGACATCCTTTTTCCTGCCTCCAGATGTAACTGAGGATGCCAAAGATGGTTCCCATAACCATCTGCAGGATCTGCAGACTGGTGATGAGCATGGGGAGCATGCTGGGGCACCTCACTTTGGCAGCCTTCAGAGCGTAGTAGGTGTACATGATGGAATGCACACCAAAGTTCATGGTCATGAACCAGCCGCCTGAAGCCACTTTGTTCTTGTATCCAAAGCTTGTGAACACTAGCACTGTGCTGTGGTGATACCAGTGCACAAAGATGAGTGGCCGCTTACGCAGGATGATGAAGACCGTGTCTCCTGGGAGATGGGGAGTCATAGCTGGCATACCACCCAATATGCTGGGACCACCCTCTGCACTTGGGGGGGACATAGGAGAAATTCTCATGGTGGGGAGAGGAATATTTTTGGCAGAAATTTGAAGAGGGACTTGGGTGAGATGTGTTGTTAAGGACCCAGGGGTGGGAAAGGAACTCTCCATGTGATAGGTGAGGGGAGGACTATGAGAAGGGATCAATACACTGGGCACCAGAGAGATAAAGCCTTATCACTCACCGAGTTCAATGATCTTGCTGAGAAGAAAGACACAGGACCAGAATTTAACTATGGCATCATCGACATAGGTGGTGAAGCACACAGTTGGCTTCAGGCCCCCCCTTAGTAGCAAGGTTCCCATATAGCTCCACATCCTCACTGTCCCCAGGATACTGAAATGGGACAGAGAAAGATGTAAGGTCATTCCCAGGCACCAATCCATCCTTCCCTCTGGCCTGACCAGGTTGTTAAGTCTCGAACTCCATTCCCTCCTCATCCTTCCAGGGGAATGGGTCACAGCTTCCAAGACCCTGGGGTCAGTGTGGTAAATCCAACCAGTATTCTATAGGAGAGGAGTGTTGAGAAAAGATCAAAGACTGTAGGGAGGTGGGACTGAAAGTTGAAAACAGGATTCTTGGGATGAAGTGAAAGTCTGAGAAGAAATGAGTGGGAGGATAGAGAAGAACAAAAGATTTTGGGAACGAAAACCTGTGTATGAGCAACTGGAAAGCCATTGGACAGTCTTGGCGAAAAGAATTAGGAGCCCAGAGTATGAGATGCTGGAGAAATTTATTGAAGTACAGATTCCATGGGTGCAAGAAAGATGGAGCAGAGACGGTCAGCCTGGGATCTCAGAAACAGTAAGATGGAAGAGGATAGAAGCTGGAAGTCAATGCAGCTGAGGTTTTTGGAAAACTATAATGGATAAAGTGGAAGTCTAAGGACTAAAGAACAGGGAGGGCAGGGGAAGTCTTACCTGAAAACTGCAAGGCCGAAGGACCAGAGGGTGAGAGGCCTCTGTAGGTTGAAGCCTTTCCGTGCTTTCATGTAGTTCTGCCCCACAATGATGAGCAGCAAGTAGATCAGAACTATGAGGAATGAGGTTACCCTGGCAGGGAGAAGGCAGAGAGGATGGACTTATGGGTGGGTGCTGCTTAAAGAAATGTCCCACTCATTTCTCCACCTGAATGCTCTAAGTTGGAGTTCCAGCTCTGCCACTTACTACCTGTGTGACATTTCAGTTTCCTTCCTTGTATGTGGCAGGGAGCAATATTCCTGGTAATGTGAATCTGTATAAAGTACCTAGCCCAAGGCAGAAGCTAGAGCTAAGATTTCTGTGATGATTGCGTTCCAGTGAGGTTGGGGGTGGATGACAATTATCTGGCCCACACTAATCAGAACCATGGTGTAAGAGGAATGTAGCAACAGCCTCTGCCCGCTCGGGTTACAGCAAATTGATCGGAACACAAAGTCAGCCCACAAACACCTCTGAGGAGTTTTAGGACTAAGCCAGAAAGTCTCCAGAAAGCTTGGTAAAACTTGCTTTCTGTTTCCTTCTCCATAGCAGGGACGATGGAGGCATTTAGGGAACGTGATAACTGTGTAGAGTAGGCTGTTCCTAGGCAGGAGTACACATGCAGGCAGGCTTACACAGCCACAAAGGACAGGGATGAGCTATCTAATTAGGAATAGATCAATCTCATTCCTCAGTGATCAGTTCTCTCTACACTTTTTTTCCTTTGCTTCTGTCTCCCCCGCCCTACATATCCCCATATTCTCATTTCTGCATTCTTTCTTCCTGCTCTGATCTCTTTGCGGTGCCACGCTACCTGCACCTTGGACAACGTAAGGTGGAGCCAGTACAGGGGAGCTCGGTACCTTTGTCTTTAAGAAAATCATGGGGGCATTCTGTCTCCTTTTCCCTCTTCCCACAAAACAGTTGGCAGCGTCTGGCTCTTGACAGGACCCTTCACCCCTCACCAGGTCTCACCAGTACTCCTCCAAAAAGGGCCTTAAGTCCTGGAACATCTCGAAGCTATATGGCTGGACCAGATGCCCTATTTCGATTGAGGCATTCATGGCTGTGACCATTTCCTTCTGCAGACGACGAGGTTCAGAGTTTGGGAGGGGCTAGGCGACAGGCTGGGGGACCGAGGATGGAGTGACCCACAGGACGGGACGGAAAAGAGCCAGTACAGACAGAACTCCTGGGAAGACAGAAGGACCTCGGATCCAATCACGTGCGCTGCAGTCCCGCCGGCTCGCACTGCCCCACAACTGCGGTATATAACGCGGATCCCTGAGACACGGGCTCAGACAGCTCACTGCCCCCCGCCCAGTGCTCAGCTGTTATCCAATCTTGGCTAAGATCCGCCTCTGTCCTGTCCCTGGGCCGCGTTCTTCTCTCTGATTGATCATCTTCAGGGGCACCTCCCCCAAGCGCCTCTCACGCCCTGCCCCACTTTCCCAATTCCACGCCCCCTAAATCCCCTGCACGGCCACCTGCTTGCCTTAATCCCTTCTCGCTCCACAGTATCCTGGCCGGTCAGTCTTCCCCTGCACTGTCAGCCGTAGCCTTTGCCTCAGATTGCTTTAATCTCCACCTGTCTGGCAATGAAGAAAAAGTGGAGGAGTACTTGGCCCCTAGTGCCAAGGACATCCAGAGGTGGGGGCGTCAGTTTCCAGGTCTCCGGAGGCCTTGGAAACCCAGGCCTGGGCTGAGGAAGAACCAAGCTGGGCAATGAAGAGCTTCTCCTGTAGTCCCTTCTGCCTCCTAGCTTCGGGCCAGTGCTTGTGGGCGAAGGGAGATCAATTTGAATGAATTTTATTGTTGAAGTTGTTGTTAAATGTTTGAGGAGGTGGTTGCTGTAGTTTCTTTATAGTTTCCTGAATCCCTGAACTGCCCCTGTCTGGCGCCCCGTAATAACATTGCAAGGGAAAATGGGGTCACCCTCAGGGCTTCTGGAATTAATTGTCCTAAGGTTTCCTGGGGGCCTCCTACCTAGGGTTTGGAGAGCAGAAGATCCAGTGCAGCTCCCCGAAGCATGCTTGGCTGATCAAATCTACTTCAACTGTGTATCTCGTTCCAATGAAAGAAATGTTTAAAAACTTTTAAGACCTTGCTTCGCTGTCCCTTATTCTCTCCTAGGGCTTTCTGAAAGTTAAGGAGAACTAGAAGGCTTGAGGGCAGTTTGAAATAAGGTAGAAATTTGCAATACAAGTGCTAAGAAGAACAAGTAGAAAATATTTAAATCAAGATATATGTATAAGTAAAACCCAGTCTCTGGAGCCAGAGGATCCAGGTAGGAATCCCAGCTCCATTTCCTGAACTTCAGTCAACTGTCAATGGAAGAGTAGAGTAGGCAGTCCTATCTGTGCCATTTAAATGGCTAAGGTATATCCCTTAGTTTCTGCACCTGATTACCTCTCACCTGGTTACTACAGCTGTACTGCCACCTTCTTTAACACAGTGCCTCTCTCTATTGTGGGAATCAGAAAAAAAGTTACCAAATCTGGCTTATCACTAGATTTATGAGTATCAAGTCCAGAGGTTTGGGCCCCTTAGGTAATCCCAGGCCATACTTTGAAAACTAACACTTCCTCTCCTACCATCCAAAAGGTGGTTTTGTCTAAAACCTGAATTGGATTTTGCTGCTATCCTGCTTAAAACCCTTCAGTGACTCCTGACTGCTCCATCCATGACCTGACACTCATTACACTAATCACCACGTTTTGTGTGTGTGTGTGTGGGGGGTACTGGTGCCTTCACCTTGAGCCACTGCCAGCCCTTTTTGTGATGGGTATTTTGTTGTTGTTGTTGTTATTTTTGGCAGCACTGGGGTTTGAACTCAGGGCCTCACACTTGCTAGGCAGGTGCTCCACCACTTGAGCCACTCCACCAGCTGTGATGGGTATTTTTGAGATAGGGTCTCATGAGCTGTTTGTCCATGCTGGCTTAGAACTGCGATCCTCCTGATCTCTGCCTCCTGAGTAGCTAGGATTCCAGGAGTGAGCCGCCCGTGTCCAGCTTGATCACCACATTTGATGGGTGAATGAACAAGTGAAAGAATGAGTATTACACAGAATTTTTATTGCTATAAAAAAATGCCCGAGACTGGGTGCTTTATAAATAAAAAAGACTTATTCAGCTCACAGATTTGGAAGCAGAAAGTCCAAGATCTGGCCACCATATCTGGTTGGCCTATGGTTAGAGCCTCCTGGTTGTGCTATAACATGGTAGGTGGCATCACATGACCTAAATACATCTAGAGTGATCATACCATGAGGGAGGAAGCAAGAGAAGGGGAAGGGGTCAGCTTCATTCTTTTATAACAGCCCACTTTTATGGGGCCTGCATTAGAACCACATTAATGATAATAAGAACTACATTAATTCCTTCCAAGGATGGTGCCCCATTATCTAATCATCTTTTAAAGCCCCCACCACCTCGATACCATTACATTGGGGATAAAGTTTCAAGTACATGAACCTTTGGAGGACACACTCAAGCAGTATCCAAACCATAACAACCATATAGGTGCTACGAGACTTGAGTTCAAGTTCCAGCCCTCCCATTAACTAACCATGAAATTTTAAGCAAGTAGCCTAACCTCTCTGAGACTCCCACTCTTCAACAGCAAAATACAAGTAGTTATACTCGTCTACCTAACAAGATTGGGATCAGTATTCAAGTCAGATAATGTCAATGACCAGATACTGTAGACTAGATACATAGAATCATTATGGGAGGTTGGGAAATGCACACAGAAAATGTACTCAGTCTTAATTTCTCTCAAATGAAAATATGATACAGTGCATTGACTTTCCTGTGAAATTTAATGATGAGGCTTAGGGGAAGTATGTGTGGAAGAGGGAAAGAAGAAGGAAAATCTCCAGGAATTATTTCCTAAAGGGAACTTTCCTTAATCTTTAGACTTGTTCTGGTGCCCCTGTTGTATATAAACTGCTCTTATAGCATGGTATTTCTTTCTCCAATGAGAGTTTGTAATTGCTTAGTAGTTTTTGTGATTATTTTTTGATCAGTGCCTAATTTCCCTTCTCGTCCTTGACCTCCATGAATGCATGGAATATGTCTACTTTGTTCAATGTCAGTCTTCTAACACTGGGCACAGTGTGGGTCTCAGGTAATATTCATTGCATGAATGACTGAACGGATGAAATCTTCAGACTGTAAACCTGGGTAACACTCTGTTTCTCCAAGGAAATGATTGCAAACTTAATCTTTTGTTTTGTCAGGTTTTTTCTACTGGTAGTTAGCTCTCCTGAAAGCCTCAGCCTAGAAGAAGAAATGGTAACCATGAGGTGGCGTGAGCAAGATGGGAAATTTAGGGCCTGGCTTTAGAAGTTTATATAATGCTAGCTACTTATATTTGTTGGTGCCAAGTAGCTGCCTACCATGTCTGTGCCTTCTCAGTCCACTTCTGTCTCCCAAGCTGTCTCCCAAGTTTTTTTTTATGGTTTTTGGTTTTTTTTGTGATACTGGGATTTGAACTCAGGGCCTACACCTTGAATTACTACACCAGCCCTTTTTTGTATGTATGATGATTTTTTTCAAGGTAGGGTCTCATGAACTATTTTCCCGGACTGGCTTTGAACCATGATCCTCCTGATCTCTACCTCCTGAGTAGCTAGGATTATAGGAGTGAACCCCATACCCAGCTTGACTCCCAGTTTTAGCTGCCTATTGACATCTCCACCAATATATTCTGGTAGCATCCTCAACAAAACACATGCCAAACAATTTATTATTTTCTTCAAAAATAGGCTGTCCTTCCCAGTCATCATTTAACTAATCTCCTAGAAATCATATTTTATTCTTCTATAAAATACAAAGTACTAGTATTTCTTCTAAAAGCAACATGGTCATCAGAATGCCTCTATTAACATTCTATCTCTTACTAGCTAGGTAACCTTGGATAAGACATCATTAAATATCTCTTGGCCTTGGCTTTCTCACCTATAAAATAGAGATAATATCCACCTCAGAAGGGTGCTTATGAGGATCAAATGAAATCATTTATGTTAAAGAGCTTTGTACATTATAAAGTGTTGAGCAAACATCAGTAATTATTAACAAAAAGTGACTTTAAAATTTCAGCTTTTTTTTTTTTGATGGTACTGGGGTTTGAACTCAAGGCTTTGCACTTGCAAAGCAGGTGCTGTACTACTTGAGCCTCACCTCCAGTCCCAAATTTCAACTTCTTTTAAGTAAAACACAATTAAGTTAAAAGGAAAGCCATGATCTAGAGAATGGTTGCAAAACACTGTGGATGTGCCTAGCACTATTGAACTGAATATTTAAAAGTGGTTAAGTTGGGAAATTTTATATTATATATATTTTGCAACAATTAAAAAAATTTTAAAGGAGAGTCATGAAATGGGCATATAATTTTAAGTAGGACAGATAAAAGATTAATATGAAGATTACATTAAAAGTGTATTTGCTGGGCACTGGTGCTCACATCTGTAATCCTAGCTACTCAGGAGGCAGAGATCAGGGGATCACAGTTCAAAGCCAGCCCAGGCAGATAGTTCAAGAGACGCTATCTCAAAAAGACCCATTACAAAAATAGGGCTGGTGGAATGGCTCAAGATGAAGGCCCTGAGTTTGAACTCCAGTACCACAAAAAAAAAAAAAAAAAGTTTATTCAGAGTCCTATCTCTGACACTTGATAACCCAAATATGGCTCATTTTATATGTTCCAGTGCCTCCAAATCTATCTCTCTGTTGCCAGAAAGGTCTTTTGGGTATTTTTTTCCCCTTTCCTCCTCCCTTCTCTCTCTCTCTCTCTCTCTCTCTCTCTCTTTCTCTCTCTCTCTCTCTTTCTCTCTCTCTCTTCCTTCCTTCCTTTCTTTTTTTGACAAGGTCTCACCACTCCTGGCTAGCTAGAAAGGTCTTTCTAAAACACATTGTGACTCAAACGGTAAGAGTGTCTGCCTAGCAGGCCTAAAACCCTGAGTTCAAACCCCAGTTCCACCAGTAAATAAGTAAATAAATACACATATCAGGTCAGGCACCATGGTGCATACCTGTAATCCTAGTACTTGGGAGCCTGAGATGGGAAGATGGTGAGTTCAAGGCCAACCTGGGCTACCACCAGTCTCAAACACAATATCAAGAACAAAATTCACATTCCTTTATTGTTGTTGTTTTGGTTGTACTGAGTTTTGAAGTTAGGGCTTTGCTCTTGCCAGGTAGGCACTCTTCTGCTTGGGCAAAGCCTCCAGCCTAATC